GCAATAATCCCGATTGCCAAATTAGTAATAGCGAATTTAAACAAAACGAATTTTTCTACATTACCAAATATGGTATGCATTAATTGCCTAATTTCAACTAGAATTATTTTACCGATCAATCAAGATTAAAGATTGTTACAACGCCCCAAGTAATAATCATATGAAATCTAGGGTCTTCTGAAGCAATAATTTATGACGCGGGACATAATAATAATTCGTGATTCAAAACATAATTTGTGACACAAGACATATAGTTTGTGATGTGAAGCATAGTTTGTTAGTTCTTATTATAATAATAAAGGAAGACTCTAATTGTAATCAGCAAGAATTATGTATTTTATCTATAGTAATAATAATCAAGTATAATTAGTATAATTTGATGAAAAATTATGTAAAATTTTTATTAGAAGAATATTATAAATTATTATTGTTACCTAAATCTATTTAAACATAATGTTCAACTTATTGCATATTGTCTCATTTCCTCTATCATCTACAATTTTTATTTCCTTCTACATCTCCTCTACCTTCTGATTGTGTACATATACAATATGTAAGAAAATAGTTTTATTATTCTCATAAATAATATTTAATGGCTCATTCTTCTGACCCCAAACATTCATTTAAAATTTTCTTTGCTATTTCTTTAAAAACACATATATATCACCTATCAACGCTTGTTAAATATTTGAACAAATACAGCTTCATGATAAACTAGAATAAATTTCATCCATCCTCTTCATCCTCTTCTATTTTTTGTAATAGTAATGCTCCAAAAACCAGATATAATTTCATAATGTTGATACAGATTGCATTTCTAATTTAAAAATAAAAAATAAAACTATTAGATTAAGAAGCTAGAAGTTGTCAGTTATGTTTAAAATACTTAAACTGAATTTGGTTCATTTTTATAAATATGTATGTATGTATATATATATATTTACATTTATAGATCAGTTATTTGACTATTTCTATAGTATTTTTGTCCTACTGTATATAGTGGGATGATTTGGTGGACTTTTTTATATTATGAAATTTACCCTGGGACAATTTGGTAGACAATGTAAAGAGCGTATAGAAAAAATAAAAAAATTTTTTTTTTCAAGGAAAATTGGTTTTTATGAAATACAAAGCATTGTTAAGGATATCATCTGTAAAAAAAAAATATTACTAAAAAAAATGATATATTTACTATATGGTGAATTTAATCTACTTTTTGCATCGTACTATGTTAAAAAAAATGGATCAGCACCAATGCTAAAGACATCACGTGCTGCGCCACTTACCAAAAATTTTATGCTGATCTTGCTTTATAAAGAATCCAATATATAAAAATAAATCCAAATTTGTAAAAGATCTGTGACTTTGTCACGTGAATAATTGGTAAATAATCTGTAAATTGCAGTTTAGATTAGTGTTGGTTTCCAAAATTAGAGAGTTTCACAACTGTGCGAAAGTCAAAAGGTTTCGCCATAAGTCGAAACTAGTTTTGATTTTTGACTATTGACTTTTGATTTAGTTTTGACATATAACTTTTAATTTTAGTTTTGACTTTCGCCTCTTCAAAATAGTTTTGGAAACCAACACTAGTTTAGATATATAGTTGCCGAAATTTCAAATAAAATATCAAAGTTACCCAACTTTAAACCATTATAACTTTTTTTTTAATTAAATAACTCAAAAAAAACTTTCTATTACATTATTTTTCATGTCTAGAATATTGCAAAAATAGAGAGTTTTTGGTAAAATAGCCCATATTTAATAAAGTATCAGCACTTAAAGATTGGCAACATTTGATGATGATTGCCACTATAGGAGAGTTCCTGAATCTGTACTAGTACTAATAGATATGGAAACTATGACATGAAATTTTAAATCCAAATTTGTAGAAGATCTGCTACTTTGTCACGTGAATATTCAGTGAATCGTGAAAATAATCGGTAAATCATGGTTAGTGATCACAATCATCATATTCATGAATATTCATTAAGGGGGTTACACTTATCAAATCATACAAAAATCCCTTAAAATTATGTGTCAATCACTTTATTTTGATAAGTGTAACCCCCTTAATGAATATTCATGAATATGATGATTGTGATCACTGTTCAGGTAATTCTTTAGCAAAAACAAACTTACATTCATTATATGTTAACCAAAGATGAGGAAAAAACAATACCTGAACATTTTCCACAATAAGCTCTGCATCAATTCCTTTTGGATTGTGGACATTTTTATTAATGTGTAGATTATCAAATGGAACTGCTGGTAATTCTGGAACTGCTTTTAATAAGATAGTTTGAAAGTGATGAACATCTGAAGATGTTGTTGTATCACCACGTCGTATAGTATGGATGTTATGACAATCATCAAAATTGGCCACCATAAAATCATCCATCTACATCAAATTCATTAAATTAAATTAATATTTGCAATATAATTACAACTAAATTAAAATTCATAAGCATTATCCTTACATGTTCTAATACAAAGGAGCTAACAGTATCATTGTGAGTATTTTCTTGCTTTTTTTTATGTCTCATTACTGTCTCACGCCTAATGCTTATACCTGCTCCTGCAAATGTTTCAATGGCTGAGGATGATGCACCTGCACCATCTAACATATATCCAATTTCAGCTTTAATTCCATTGATGAATTTATTATTCAAACCTGCTAGAAAATAACAAAATAAAACTAATCTTTTTTTATTTTTTTCATTAGTCATATTATTTTTATCTTTTGGATTTGTTCCAGCATAAAGTTGATTAAAAAAACCTTTTAATGCTGGTTCAGCTTCTTCTAACATTTTATTAAATTCATCAGGTTCTAAAATGGGTTTTTCGTTATTCACCCTCTGTCTTATATACAATACACCTGCCATTAATTTGATTTTTTTATTAAGAGGTGCTGTTTCTAAAATAAAGCAAATAAGCTAGTTAAATATAATTATTGACAATAAAATAACAGCAATTTATTTGGTAATTTATTAATTTATTAAAAAAAAATAAGATATATATTTTCATTTTGTTCAATAATAAATAACATTATTATTTTTAGTATATTGGTGTGTAAACAATTAGAAGAATAATTAATTACTTACCTAACTTTGTTTTCTCAAGTTCTGCACACACTTCATGATATGCCGACTCTAATTGTTGAAATTCTTCCTCAGAATAAAAAATATCATCACGTAAAGCATATTTATTTTGAAATTTCTGAATTTTTTTGTTTGATTTTTTTTGAGCTGGTGATTGATAATTAGGTGAATCTGAGTATTCTGGATCATTGTCAGTCTTATACAAACAGTGATGACACATCATTGCTGTCTCTAATAATTTAAAATAATTAATTAATCGTCCAGGTGCCTTCCAGAATAAAATTTTTTCTTTTTTTTGTGCTGTAGAAAGATAAATATCATGCTTAGGATGGGAACAAGTGTTAATTATTTTGTTTTTAGCATTAACAATTAATTTGTTATAATGCCTTCTACATAATGCTTTTCCAACCAAATTTAAATGTTTGTTAATATCTGGAATAGTAACTTTATCAGATACTATGGAAGCATTATTAATTTTATAATCACAGATAATGTCACCTTGGCCTTCTAAATCACAATATTGTACTTTTCTCCTCTTATCTTTACGTTCATCACTGGAGGGTGCTTCTTGAGATGAGTTTTGTATGACATCCATTTTCTGTAAGGCGAGTTGCTTAAAATGTAGCTATATATTAAATTATATATTAAATTAAGTATATAAAATTTTCTATTGCAAAAAAGTCTACTATAACTAACTTCCGAATTACTTCACCTTTTGCCGAATTATTTTGGCAGTCTATAAAATAGAAGGTGAGAAATCAGAATATATTGTTGTTATTGCCACAAAATTGATTTTAGTGATGCAAAGTCAAGTTAAAGTCAGATGACGGTCAGTTTGTATATGAAACATATGTGGTTGGGGTTGGTCACAACGGTTGATCATCAAAATTAATAAACATCAATAATTAAATTTCATATATGCGGATTTTTTAACTGTTATTTTGAAAATTTTGTAACACAAAAATTTTTATAATAATAATAATAAATAAATTTTTCACAACTAAGAAATAATTTGAATCATAATGTCATTTCGTGAAATAATTTTTTCATTACAAATATTTATTGGATTGGGAGTAATTGTATGCTGTTGAGCACAAATTCCTTTAGTTTCTTGGAGGTAAGATTGAATAATAATAATAATAACTCATAACATAAATGAATCAATTTTTTTTGTTACAAAAACATTCATTAAATATATAATTATTTATTTTTTAGCATATGTTTTAATATATTTTTGGTTGCCTCCTCACCAAAGTTCAAATTTATTGGATTGGGAGTAACTCTATGCTGTTGAGCATGAATTTCTTTAGTTTTTTGGAGGTAAGATTGAATCACAATGATAATAAATAATAACTCATTTCATTAAATATATAATTATTTATTTTTTAGTATATGTTTTAATATATTTTTGGTTGCCTCCTCACCAAAGTTCAAATTTATTGGATTGGGAGTAATTCTATGCTGTTGAGCACGAACATCTTTTAGTTTCTCTGAAGTAAGCATACATCCTAAAGGTTTAGGTCCTGAAAGTTGTAGCCTAGATTCTTGCAAATCAATATTCATATTGGCATGTATCTTTAAATCATATTTATTAAACATGCCCTCTACATGCTGCTGATGAACAACTATTGACCAAATTCTATTTTTAATGAAATCATATAGTAAAGGAAAATCAAATAATTTGGGATCATTGGCCACAGAGAAGGCAATAAATTCATTACGAAAGTCATCTTCTTGTAACGCTTCAAAGAGACCAAAAGATTCTTTTCTCTGATTATTGAAATCATCTACCAACTGGTCAATATATTTACTTGCTAGATTATTAGAAAAATTTGGTAGAGGAGTGTTTAATACTACACAGATAACTGCCTGTGCAAATGCTTGGCCATTGTTACCCCCTAAACTACAGACCAAAAGTGGTAAGTGAGTCCATATATCCATCCACTTTTTAAACATTTCCAAGGCTTTTGCTAACCCTGCTTTGACCTTATTCATTAAATCAATATAATCATTTTCTTCTAGGTGCTCACTTGCAGCCTGAAATTCTTCAAAGAAAATGATTTCTGGTCTCTCTACAACCTCATTCAATTCCTTGGTCCATTTTCCCACCATATCTGGTAGCTCATGAGCTCAATAACCATTGGGGAGTGTTTTAGGGGTGCCATTATGTTGTACCCTAGGACAAGGGTCTGCTCCAGTAAGAAAATGGAATAATTGTTCATAGAACCATTTGCCAAATTGTACCATAATTCTAATTAAAATATTCATTTTTTCATCCTGTAACCAACTGAGGAAAGTAGTCCACTTATGATAATATCTCTCTGGCACATTTTTTGAGGACATCAACTGATCAACAAAAAATCTTGCAAACACAAGGTGTATATCTTTTCTGTCAAGATACTGTTTGGCTGTTTCTAATTGGTATAGCCATCTGGTTGAAATAGGTTTTTGGTAATTTTTCAATTGATATTGGAGAAAGGTCCAATACAACTTTTTAATTGTTTCTGTTTTCATGTTTAGAGGATTATCTTTATCTGAATCATTGTAACCATTGTGAAGGTAGTAGGCAAGATTCAGTAGATTAAAAGGATGTGGACGTAAGGACAAACCAGAGGGATTAGGATTACTGCCAAATGTAATTTTCTCAAAAGCATTTACAACAATATGAATTGCATGGAGGCCACAAGGAATCCTAACTGTCTTTGATCCTGTTTTTTTTTGAACTCAACTACAGCACCACCCTTTTCCCCAGACATATATCCAGTATTGTCAGTAAGCCAGTACAGACATTTATTTGTACATATATTATAAGATTGACATGATTCTATTATAGTATCACAGACAACAATAGCACTACAACGTTCTATATCTACCATTCGGATTATAGAAAGTAAGGGTTCATTAGTGTGATGGTTCCAATATGGCAAGCATACTAAGAAAATTTTTTTCTCTCCTCTAGTGCTTTCATCTGCAATAATACCATAAGAAAAGAATCTACAATCTTTATTAGGAAGATTGTCATGAATCACAACTTGAGCTACCTCTTTATTCCACCTTGCCAATGTTCTATGGGATAACCAGGATTCAGGTGATTGACCAGTTAGAAAGGCAAAGATCTCCTTTGTACATTGAACAGTTGAGGATAAAGACATCTGACCAATATTACTCATTTGAGTAGCTAGGGAAACAAATTCAGGTGTGTAGGCATTTTTATTTGCTTTGAATTTTTTTGTTACAGCATTTTGAAAGACTTTATCGGATATTGATTTCCTTTTACTAACAAGAGAACGGGTCTGGGAAACATAAGTTTTTCTTCTTTGTTCTTGCCTAGTAACCTTAATTGCAAGTGATTTTTTATATGCATTAAGATTTTCAATTTTTTTTTTTAATTTTTTAATTTCCTTTTCTAATTCTTTCATTTTCTGATTTATCTCAGATTCATTATTCTGAGGTTTGCCTTTAGTCATTAGGACCCATTCCATGGCTTTTTTTTGCAAATAAGGAGACAAAATCTTACCTTGATGTGTACCATTTGGATATTGCATGTTTTCAAACAATTGGGAGCAAGCAATTAATTCTTTTTCATCTAAATCATTTATTTTATTAATTAATTCAATTCTAATTTGCTTTGCCTTAGTACTAAGTTCTGCCATATTAGTTTGATCTATAGTATTAACAGATGAGTGATCTAAAATATCTTGGGGGTGAACATTTGATGCATTTTGGAAAGTTGAATCAAAGACATCTTGGGATAGAGAAACATAATCATCTCTGGATAAGGAATCATTGGTTACTAGAAATGACTTGTCAAGATCCATAGGTGAACTATTTTCTTTTTCAATTGGATCATAATTTTTCTCTTTTTTGATTAGACGGGCCTGTTGAATTAGCCTTAATTTTTGATGAAGTTTTGGCATTTTATTTGATCAAAATTTTATTAGACTAACAATCTTTTATAACAATTTTTATTTAATAACATTTTTCCATTTCCTTAAAAGGGAAGGATTGTCAAAGCAAATGTTAATAGAAAATTGGTAACTTTGAACCTTTACAAAAAATTTTTTTACTAATATAAATGAAAAAAACTCTCTGACAGGCCCTTAATTGAGCATCTGCAAATACAATCGCGGAAGGATTATTCCAACAGCTTGCTTGGTTATCGAGCCTTTACGTTTTAAAGTTTAAATAAATCTTTGATTATTTATTATCCCTTGAATTGTATTTGCAACAAATATGTTGCAAATTTATTTCTAAGTGAAAAATGATTTTTGAGATCACGCCACTATCATAATAAAAAAAATCGAACATCATACAATGATTATCGCATAAAATAATTGCACAAAGTGAATGAACAAAATTTTCTTCTAATGCCGATCATTTTATATTAACGTCAAAAATTTTTTTTTTAAAGCTACAATAAAATTTTTTTTTTTTTGCATTGTTATTAATAATTAATTATCAAAATATTAAAATGGGTTCTAATTCTCAACTTCCTAATGATAGATTAACTACTGATAATCATTTTGTAGAATGGAAAGAAAAAAGATTTTCATGTATGTTGTGCAGGTACTTATTATTGAAAACTGAGCAAAGACCTCCATTATCTAATTTTTGGTGTACATCATGTAATGTTCCATTATGTTGTAATAGTAATAGAAATTGCTTCAAAATTTATTATGAAAAGGAAAATATTTATTCAAATAAAGACTAAATTGTATGGATTATCTAAAATAAGAAATGCGAAAAAAAAATTTATGTAAAAATTGCAAAAGCTTGAAAGTCTACTAACAAAAAAATATTCAAAATGATTTTATTGAAACTCCTAGTTTGAAGAATAATAACGCCATAAGTTTTAATAAGGTCACTGTATTCTATAAAAATTTTTATAAGTTGTGAAAATTTCTTAAAATAATTCAAAAAGTTTGCTATTATTAAATTATTCCAATAAAAATAATAAAATTACATCATGTGAATTATAATAATGTGCAAAAAAAATATATTTATTTGGATTAGATAATGAGTGA